ACAGGGAAAGCAACGTGGCACCATTCATCAGCTGTTGAAGGGGAGTCTGTTCCCGCAGTTGGGATGCACTCAGTACATAGCAGCCATGTCAATAAGGCCAGTTGGGTCTGAAATACAAAGGAGCTGACTGCAGTGTGACTTAATTCCCTTCTCTAGGAAGGGAATTTCATATCTTGTGAACAGCCACCAAGAAGACTTATTTTGATGTTTCTGCTAAATGTACCTGTGCATTTGGTGAGATGGAAAGGAGGGACTCCCCTGAAGACACATGCAAGCTCATATGAAAATACATCATTAATCAGATAACCAAGACCCAAGATATATAGGGTTCTGTGAGTCTTAGTGAGCATTATATTTTGTACCTGGAAACAAACCAGTAGCCTGTAAAGTAATTGTTGCAAAAGAATTATATGCTGTTTATAATTAGCACCATTTAGAAGTCTGGTTGCTGACACGAACACTTGAACATTCCAACCACTATTCAAAAGTAGCCCTATGTTGAATGTGCTATCATAATCCAGGAAAGGTCTRTTACAGTATATGATTTTGTAAGTCTTGACAAGAATCATCTCTTGCTKATATGTGTGTGTTGAGGAAGAACCACTCCCTGATTAGGATGTATATCAGRKGARGDTTKCYTGATGYAGGKRGKRKGKGAAATGAAGTAATCAGAGATGGAACTATGCTACAAGGTTTGCTGGAAAGAAGCAGATTAATGCATTGTAAGTTTTTTTTCCTTCTGCGATGGACAATATGGACAATGTGTTTTCAAGGCTACTGTGTTTTTCTTTATAAAGCTACATGTATTAACTACTCCAGAGTAAAGACATTTTCCTTTATACTCTGTGCAAATCAACTTGGGATCTGGAGCTGGGAGGACTGCTGTGTAGATTCAATATAAACTAACAAACCGCAACAAGGTCTAACTAGGGCATATGTTACTGTAGACAGAAGTGTCTGGGAATGAAGGTGACATTGTAGCCTTAAATGTGTAAATGCACTCTTTACCACTGCAGAAGCATAATTTAGGCTCAGCACATAATCCAGGAGACCCAAGTAATGAAGCTGTGTCTTCAAGAGCAGTGGATTCCATCCAGAACAATTTTAATCCCAAGAATACTATCCCCTCCTTGCTGGTTATGTGGGTAACACATTCTGCCACCAGCAGTTATGACAGGTGCTAGCTTGGTGCTTACACGGAGCTCCGTGGCTTGGGGAACAGGGTGATGGTGGTGACACAGGGGACAAAGTAGCCTTGCTGTGATATCAATTCCATATGGAACAGCTGGACATGAACACTGCATCAGAGCAGATTCAGCAAAGTATGTCTGGCCACCATCCCAGTTGCTTCAGAGCTAATCTGGAGCATATTGCTCAGGACTGGGCCTGACTTAAGCAGCCAGTATAAACATGGCTAAGTCTGCTTCTGTCCCTTAACTAAGATGAAAGAGTTTGGAATTAATCTAGTCAATCCTTCTCTTTCATGTAGCCCTGAAGCTAAAAGACCATCACTATCCAGCATAGGCTTAATCCTTGGCATTTGGTATATTACAGTGTTACAGCTTGTTCAGTTGTCAACTCTGCAGTTTTGAAAGAAATCTGTGATGTACAGCTTGCAACCTGATGTAACCTAATGAACATAGAATATATGGGGTGAACTATAAAACAGGGAGCTAGATGTAGTAGTGTGTATGTAATATTGACGCCATGGCAAAGCTTAAGTCTGAGAGAAACATGTACTCCATGTAAATAAAATAAGAGTTATAACTTGTAATATTTTCCTAACAGAGAGATGAAGAAAGATGTAACCACACAGGTACACTGGCTAAGGCAATTAGATTAGCTGGTGAAGTCCAAAGATGGGGCCATACCTTAAGATCTTTGTTTTGATTGGGTATCACAAATGCTGGAACCATCAGTACTACCTATATTTTGATTGATTTTGTTAGACAGCCTATAGCCCAAGTGAAGATAGGAAGAGAATGGAAGAAACCAGATAGAGCCCACAGCTTAGAATCATAGAATCATAGAATCAAAGAGTTGGAAGAGACCTCATGGGCCATCCAGTCCAACCCCC